TGAATACATCTTTTGGGATAAAAGATAAATAAATAAATAACTGCTTTGGGAAAGCAACACTGTTGAAGAGTAGAAAATATTTCCACACTCAAAGTGGAATGTACAAATAGAGCTTAACACTCTAAGGAAAGAGAACAAGGAATGGAAAGAAGAGATTGATAATGGATGAGTATAATGAGATGGCAATTTTGGTTTCAAAAGAATGTGATTAGCTCCTAATGACTGGCACCATTCCCTGGTCAATCTACTGTAACTAGCCACTAATGTAAAAATAATGCCCCTCAGCTCACTCACTTTGAAAATGGAGCTATCTCCCTTTCATACTTTTACCTGATTGTATTTTTTTCCTTCAAGAGATTATCCCCTATTAGATCACAGCTCCCTAAAAAGGGAAATGGACGTGTGATCAAAGTCTGCCAATTAGGGGTTCATTACCTCTTCCTCCTGGGCAGCTCTATTAGGCCTTTCTCCTCTGCTGTTGTCAACATCATCACAGCCCCAGCCCCCACTACGGGGAGACAAGGCTCCCGGGGCTGTGGCAGGGTCTGCATGGTTTCCCACAGAGAAGTGCCACTCACTTATGGCAACTGTTTTCTTTGGCTTAGGATAGTCAAGGGATAGCTGCATGCTGATGTGTGTCCTGAAGGGCATGGCTACTTAAGGACTCCGGGAGTGGATGGGAGGGACCGTCATCAGATCTCTGCAGAACTTCACAGTACAGAGGGTGCACGCTTATTCTCTGGGGCTCATGGAGGGGGGCAAAGGCAAAGTACAGGGAGGCAGAGTGGAGAAGACACCATCCAGTGAGTCTGCTCAAAAGCAAGGCAGGAAGCATGGGAGGAGGTGAGCTATCCGTCGCTGGAGGCATCCAAGTAATAGATGCTGTGGATCAGCTTATCAGCTGCCAGGAAGGCCACTGTGGATAGGAACACACTAGATGATTTTCAAGATCACTTACACCTCTGAGACTCTAGGATCTTCCCGCTTGAATGCATAGGGGTCACCTCATTCACTAATTGTTTTACTCGTTCATTCATTGCAAAAGGGTCATTCAGCACATATGAAGTACAGAGCCAGCAGTGCGTTCTGGAGATACAGTATGAATAAGAGACTGCCCTTTCCCTAGAGGAGCCTGTGGCCAAGTTAGAAGACAGACAGTTAAATTATTATATGTAGAGAAGTCCATCTAATAATAGCGACCGACTGTAAGTGGGGATGCAGTGGGGTGAGGGAGGGTGAACAGAGAATTTTTCACAAGGAAAATGCTTGAACAGGGTTTTAAAGGATACATAAGAGTTTTCCAGGCAGACTCAGGTGGAAGAGAATTTCAGGCCAAGGGAATAGCCTATGTAAAGTCTCAGAAGTTTGAAGCACCTTATAATTGGCATATTACCATAAGGACAAGAAGTGAGGCTGGAGGAGCATTTGGGGTGAAGTCATAAAGGACATTGTATTAAAGAGTTCGGAATTTATCCTGAAGACAATGGCAAGGGAAGTAGCTGAGTCTTGTTTGCATTTTAGAAAGATCTCTCTAATTACCGTGAGGAATGGATTGGAGGGGAAAAAACCAAAGCAAGAGAAGCCGGTTAGCAGACTCGTGGGAAAGTATTTCTCCAGGTAAATTCACTATTTGCCGGAATCATGGGTGGAAATTAGAATCACCTAGGGATCTTTAAACACTCCTGATGCCTGTGTCCCACCCCAAAGAATCTGACTTAATTGGTCTGGGGTAGGACCTTGGCTTCGGGAGGTTTAAAGCCTCTCCACGTGATTCTAACATGCAGCCACCAAGAGACTTTAAGCTAACTGTAGCCAAAACCCTGGCACCTAGCAGGTACTCAACACAATTTTTATTTTCAAAAAATTAAAATTAGCATGAAAACTTTTAGGGTGTCCTGCTTTTGAATTCACACCACTATCAGGGGCAAATGTTTGGACGAACCATTGGCTTTCATCACAGAGGGTTTCTGGTAGAAAATCTCTCCCCACCCCCACCAAAGATCAGCTTGAACATCATGAAATCCGGTGCTAATACTGAGACTAGCAGCCTCCCCCCAACACAGAGGAGAGACCTGGCAGGTCGCCTGAGACAGCTGGGGCCACCTGCTGAGGACAAGGCCAGGGGTTGGGATTTGAGTTCTAAGAGCCACATGTAGAAGCCAATTGCAGGATAGAGATGGCCTAAGCTGATGGCAAGGTGGATGCAGGGTAATGGTCTTTTCTGATGGGGAGCAAGAAAAACAAGGAGGAGGCAGGAGAACAATGAGAGATAAGCCCCACTTTGTTAAATGAACACTTTTCTATCTCTATGATACTGTGTCACACCCAGATTTAGGGCAGAGATCCGTGCCCAGAGCCTAGCACCTGCTTTGCTTCTCCTGCAGGATGCCTGTCTACGGGTGTTAAACACACAAAGAACAAAATTCTGATCCATTAACAGCTGGCAAGGCACGTTAGTATCCCCATCCTATGCTTAGGAAGGAACTAGTAAGGAGCAGACAGGCAAGGCAAGGCTGGTGCAGTCAGATGAGTAAGGCCCTCTGCCGCCGTGCTGCAGACAGAGAGCCACATAGACTGAATGTGTTGCAAATTCAGTCTCAGAAGCAAGGCAGGGTGGAGACAGTCACCAAAACGGGACCTGGCCTTCACACTTCTGTGGCTCTCCTAAAGCTGTTTCCGCTCCTTTAAATGCTCATCGGTCTCTCCATGAAATAATTGACTGCACCCTCCCTACCACTTGGCCCATGACTCTTGTAAATCACCCCACAGGTCTGTTGACTCGTCTGTCCCTGTCTGTGGCTGACATTCTCTTAGAGTGATTGATGCTCCTATCTGCTCCCTCCCCCTAGGCTCTGGGCAACTATGTCCAACTTCCTACTCAGCGTCTCAGCTCAGATAGCTAGTAGGCATCTCAAATTTGGCTACTATTAGTAGTATTGGTATTGGTTTGGGCGTTTTGAATATCTTAAAAAGTATACAGTACTTGGTAGGTGCCAACAAATCACCCCACAGGTCTGTTGACTCGTCTGTCCCCGTCTGTGGCTGACATTCTCTTAGAGTGATTGATGCTCCTATCTGCTCCCTCCCCCTAGGCTCTGGGCAAATATGTCCAACTTCCTACTCAGCGTCTCAGCTCAGATAGCTAGTAGGCATCTCAAATTTGGCTACTATTAGTAGCATTGGTATTGGTTTGGGCGTTTTGAATATCTTAAAAAGTATACAGTACTTGGTAGGTGCCAAGCACTGTTCTAAACACTATGTACCCAAAACACAGCACTTAATTCCAGCCTCTCCAATCTTATTTCTCCCCGCCAAACTTCTCCATCTCAGTAAATGCACTGGGTTCTTCAAGCCAACGATCTCGGGTTAGTCTTCATTCCTCTTTCCTTCGCAGTTCATGGCTACCGTAGATGTGTTGGTGCCCTGTGTGCATCCCCTCCACGCTCACTGTCCCCATGCATGCCCACCTGGTGGCTTCCTCCTGTAAGTACCTCTGACTTTTCACCCGAGGGATTCCTCAAGACAGAACAATATTCACAGAACATGGCAGAAGTGCTAGGGAGTTCCCAAGAGTTATCCCCAACCAGTAATGATGGGAATTGATGGATGAATACCCCAGCTTCTTCCCCACCTGGTGGGACAACTCAGAGGCATGAGATGAGCCTGTGGGATTAAGCCCCAGTTGCACAGTGGTAACCTCCCCCGACGCACCCTATGTTGGCGTCATTCCCTTGCTTGGCTCACTTCCTCCATTCTCCTCCCCATGTTTTTTGGGATCGCCTCCCAAACAAACTACTTGTACTCACATCCTTGTCTCTGTCTGCTTCTGAGGCAACCCAAGCCAACAATATTCAACAAAACATCCTGAAAATAATCACTTCTCACACATCCACTGGGCTCTCTCAAGGGCCTGGGGTACCATCATCTCTTGCCTGGACCGTTTCCACAACTTCCTGACTGATCTGCCTGCTCCTTCCAGAGCCTGCATCCCATTCATGAGCCAGGATGTACTTTGTAAGAAATACATAAGATCAGCTGACCCCTCCCCTCACCCCACCCGCCACTCAAAACCTTCCAGTGGTTTCCCATCACACTTAGAATAATTCCTTAACCAGTAACCACAGTGTCTTCTGTAATCCAGACCCTCCCATCGTCTCTAGATGCTTCCCTCACTACTCTCCTCCTGCTTCACTCGGGTCCTTGAATACGTTCAGTTTTGTTGCTGCCTGGACACCTTTGCATCTGTTGTTCCTTCTGCCTGGAAATAGCTTTCTACTTTTCTTGGCATGACCAGCTCTTTCACATCATTACAAAATTAGCTTGAATATTACCTTCTCAGAAAAGCCCTCCCAGACTGTGTAATTTGAAATAATTCTCACTCCTCATCCCTGTCCCTTTATCCTGCTTTATTTTCTTCATAATGTTTTTCACTACCTAAAATTATACATGTTTGGTTGTTTATTTGCTACATCTCCCAGTCAACTGGAAGCTTAAGAGGAATTTATCTATTTCCCTGTATCCCTAGTAAATAGAACAGTGTCCAGCATATATTAGAGGCTCCATTAGAGGCCTGTTGAGTGTAGGAATGAATGAATGAAGAAATGAATGAATGAATGAACAAATGACTCCCCTACCAGACCAGATTGTGAGCTCATGACACATAGAAGACATCAGTAATCTTTCGGTCAATGAATAAGTGAATACGTTCACAGAAGAGCCGAGTCTATGCTCCCCCGGGCCCCATCCAAAGACATGCGCCCTTATACTCAGTTTCCCATCATGGTGGGGTCTCCTTTCCTCCTGTTGGTTCATCTACGGGTCAATGAATAAGTGAATACGTTCACAGAAGAGCCGAGTCTATGCTCCTCCGGGCCCCATCCAAAGATACGCGCCCTTATACTCAGTTTCCCATCATGGTGGGGTCTCCTTTCCTCCTGTTGGTTCATCTACACCTGGATAAAGCTCCTATCCACTCTAACCACTCTGTCCTTGCTTTTTAGGCCTTACCAGAGGGGCAGACAGCTTCGTGGGACACAGCCAAGGAGGATGAAAACCGCAATAAGAATCGATATGGGAACATCATATCCTGTAGGTGCCTTCTGGGAGGGCCTAAGCACCAGGCTTTGGGGACACAGGGGAAAGAAGCTATTACTATTCTTTACCTATAATTCCTTATCAAATAATTCTTGATGTTTCCAGCTTTGGGTCCACATGCCAAGCTGGGAGCTTTATTTCAGCCTTCTTGTCATACCTGGCTGTCATGTCTCAGCCAGAGGAAACAGATGAGGAGCTGGGTCCGGGAGAAGTAGATCCATGAAGCTCCTTAGGGGAGATCCTGCGAAAGCTGAGTCCTGCCTGGCATTGCCTGCTTAGCAATTCTTCAGTGGGGGAAGAAGCTCAGCCAAAGGGTTGTCATAGACAAGACCCCCCTGCTGATGGATGAGCCCTGTGTTCCTGGAAGGTCTTCTAGTTCAGAGGAGTATGTTGGGGTGGAGAGCAAGTTCCATCTGTGAGGGAGGGGCCAGGAACACCTGGGCAGAGAATAGTGCTTCTCCAAGAAGGTGGAGTCCCAAGTAAGGATTGATGCTCAGAAGGAGCCAAAAACTCTGGCATAAGCCTGAGGGTTTGGAGGCAACCAGCTCAGGGCTCAGAGGATCCCAGGGCTACTCTGACCACATAAGAGACATGGTTTAGGGCAACACAAATGCTAGTAGGTCAGAGGCTCTAAGGTAAAGGCCTGCACTCGGGGCCTGCATCTGTGCAGTGCTGGTGACACTGAGTCTGCAGGGGGAAAGCATGTTCCTGTGCAGAGCCGGGAAAGGACATTGCCTTCTGCTCACAAAGAGCTTTACCATCCCTACAGGCACCCTGATGAGTGACTTGATGAAGTCAGTGGTGCATGGTAGTTAGAACCCATTGGAGTCAGACTGCCTAGATTTGTGTCTCCACTGTGGGGCCCTTGAGCAAGTTAAGCGACCTCTCTAAAATTCAGTTTCCTCTCCCTTATTTATTTATTTATTTATTTATTTATTTATTTTTAAAGACAGCCGGTAAGAGGATCTTAACCCTTGACTTGGTGTTGTCAGCACCATACTCTCCCAAACGAGCTAAACGGCCATCCCTATATAGGGATCCTGACCTGTGGCCTTGGTGTTATCAACACCACACTCTCCCAAGTGCGCCACAGGCCAGCCCTCAGTTTCCTCACCTTTAAACTGATGAAAACAATGGAGATAGGATCACTGCAAAAAGGTACATAAAACCCTTGGCACAGTGCCTGGCACCACTACTCTTAGCCATAGGGTTACTTTCTCAGAGTCACTGATAAGCAGTGTGGATATGTCATTACATCTTATTTTAACCAGCCAAATACCCACATGGGGACATGGAATAAGGCAGGTTGGTGGGGAAGGGCGGGCACAATCAGATGTCCATTTCGGAAAGATCACCAAGGTAGCAGATACAGAGGGCGGGTTAGATTGGGAGAGGTTGGAGGCAGAGGGATCGATCAGGAGACTACTGCTGTGGTCCCAGCAAGGGATGAAGAGACCTGAACAAAGGCAGTGACAATATTTGTGTGTGACTGGTGCGTGTATTCAGTTCTGTGAGGCGAGGAAGAGAGAGACTGCCACAGAATGAAAAACCATGCACAGTAACACACAAGTATTGCACTGCCAAATATTGGAATGTACAGCCTTCAGACCAAAATAAATATAGAGGGGACAAAGTTACCTCTTACAAAATGCTGAGCACATATTCTGATTAGAACAGGGGTCTGCGACAGCCTTTCTGACTCAGTGTAGTCAACCCGGACCTTCTGACATCTAACCAGTTGTGTGGGGAGCATTCCTTGGTCTCAGTTCTCAGAGTAACTCAGTTTAGCAAAAAGAAAGAAAAAAAAAAGATCCTGAATAACAAATTATTTTTAGCACAGTTCAGTGGTTTGTTTTGTTTTGTTTTAACTGTCTAGACATTGCCTAAGAAAAAACTTGGAGAAAGAAAAAGTAAGATACAGGCAGATTGTAAAGGAAGAAAGAGGCAGAAGTTTTAGCTTAGCTGTTTCCTGTGCTGATTTAGGAACGGGCTATGAATGGTGGAACTAATCAGAAAACATTTATAATTTGTCTCTTGGAAGACAGTAATGCAGACAGCAAGATTTCTTGCAATTGATGTGCCAGAAAGAGATACTCAAGCAGTCAGCAAACCTGTATTATGATGCATGGGCCTCCTCTGAGCAGGCCCTGTGCTGGGTGCTGGGAGCTCAGCTCCTGCTCCCAGGGAGCTTCTACACTGGCCACATTGGCTGTTGCTCTGACTGGTTCCCAGTGTCCTCTGCTCAAGCACCATGCATGCTGTGCCCTAAACCATCTGGTCAATCTACTCGCTCTACCAGATTGTGAGTTCTGATAAGGTCCACTAAATTACAGGCTATGTGAACTCAGGCAATCACTCTAATCTTCAGTCTCAGCAAAGGGGGTTTTAATGTCTTCCTCCTGGGAATGTTGCACAGATAAAAAAAAAAATGACTAGAGCACAGCGAAGAGACACTGACTCCTTGAGAGACAAGGATATCCAGGCTGGGCCACATACCGTGGCCAAAGTCTGTGGGTGTGCCCAGGTCAAAGCCAAGCTCGGCCAAGCCGAGCCATCACTGGCTCTCTCTTGGACTCTGCCCAGCCTCCTTCCCGGTGGCTCTACAACCAACTTTGCCCCAGCTTTTTACCTATCTGATCCCTGATAGAAGCCAGAAGGACCTATTTAAAACATGAATTGGGGCCGACCCCGTGGCGCACTCGGGAGGGTGCGGCGCTGGGAGCGCAGCAGTGCTCCTGCCGCAGGTTCGGATCCTATATAGGGATGGCCGGTGCGCTCACTGGCTGAGTGCGGTGTGGGAGACACCAAGCCAAGGGTTGCTACCCCTTACAGGTCACAAAAAGGACAAAAAAAAAAAAATGCATTGGATGATGTCCTTTTCCTACTAAAAAGCCTTCCAATCATTTCACTTCACTCTGGTGCTCTGCTGATTGAAAGGCCCTCGCAGCCTTTCCAGTCTCATTTTGCACTATGCCCACTCCATCACAGACTCCTCAATTAAACCGTGCTGGCCTTCATTCAGTGCCTTGAGCTTCCATGCCCTACCATGCCGCAGGGCCTTTGCACATTCTGCTCTCTTCCAAAGTGCCCTTTCCTTCTCTCTTTGCCCTACTAATGTCCACTTATCCTTCAGATCTAAGCTCATTCATTACTTAGAATTCCTTAGGGAATTTTCTGACCCTTCAAATAATGGGGTTTCCAAATGTCAAACGCCGTTTTTCACTCCTACAGCACAATGTATATCTTCTTCTTAGCCCTCAACATCATTGTGGCTTGAGAGGCATTTGGATGACTGTCTGTTGATGGTCTGTCTCCCTCACTAGAATGGATGCTCTGTGACTGCAGGACCACAACTATCTTGCGTTTCTGTTTCCCCAAACTTGGCATGTGGTTGGTGCCCAGTAAATCAGAACTGAATGTGGGAAAGACCCCGAAGGGCATGAGCAGTGAGTCTCTCTCCTCTGCTTGCCAAATAAGATAGAGAACACCCAGAAAGGATGGACGGAGAACAGCTGGACCAAATGACACTTGGAATGATGATATGCCAATGAGCAAGAAGATATTTCACCTAAATGGAAGAGCACAGTGATGGGATGCAGGAGGGAGAGGAGGAGGAGAACGCTCTGTCCCCTCCGAGCACTGCTTCTAAGAGGGCAGGATTCCAGGAATTAAGGAAACGTAACGAAGGGGATTAGAAGCCATTACTGGGAGTGTAGAAGATGCTGTTGACGTCCCACCCACACCCCAGGGCCTCACCACCTCACTGTGCAGCAACACCCAGATTGGCAGATGGGCATCCGGGGCCAGGAGTGAGGCCAGCAAAGTACCCAGGGTACAACATGCAAGGAGGTGCTCGCACTCAGCTGTTGACCCTGCACTGGCATGACCCTGAGAGTGGGCTCCTCCCTAAGGTTTGTGCCCTGGGCCCCTCGCTTGTCTCCCCCTGGACCTGCCCTGCCTGCATTTCTTTGCCTGTGGACTTCTCCTAAGTCAGCCTGCAAGTGCTAAAGAATTAACACCCCCAGGAGAAGCCCTCAATCTTGAAATACTCCAGCTTCCTCAGCGTCCCACCTAAGGGCATGCTGGACACCTTTTCCAGCATTCCCATGGGAATTAGGCAGCAGATGCCCACAGCAGTGATGGGCTTGAGAACTCCCCCTATACTGGCTGCCTTCTCTTCCCTGTCTCCCTTCTTCCCTTTCCTCCTGGTATTCCCCTCTCCTCCTATATAAATGACTTGCCCTGGGATTCCTGCCTTACATCTATTTCTGGGGAAACCCACATGGAGGCAGAAATAATTCAAGCACCTAAATGATACCACCTCGATGGGTTTAAATAAACCTGAATCTGCTTTCTAATTTAAGGGTCAATAACTCTGCAACAAATCAGGGCCGGAGCGGGTCTGCTCCAGAGGTAACCAGCAGGTTGAGAAAGCAGCACAGGACAGAAAGAGGAACCAGAAAAAGGACAAGAAACAAAGTCTTGGAATTAAAATGGGAAAGGTAAAAGAGAAACAGCTCCGAGGAATGGAAAGTGTTCCCGCCCTTGTATGTGTCCCTCCCAAAGGCAAAGCCTGCCTTGGCTTGATAAATAGAAATATTCTTGGCACAAGAAGAAAACCAGGTGTGATTAGCATCTTAAGGAACCCAGAGCACTGTGAGGCCGGAGTGGAGGACAAAAGCCCAGGCCAGGGTGAACAGGAAAGATTAAAGGGGAAGAGTAGAAGGGCCCTGCCTGCAAATGAAACAATGAAAGAGAAGCCTTGTTGCAATAACCCATTTCTTCCAAATTGTTCTATTTAGAATTTAGTAATAGAGTCTGTGGGGTTTCCAGGGAGTGGAGATGGAAAGGAAGTGAAGGGAAGGAAACAAATTGGGAAATAAGAACAAAGATGCCTTTGCCGTTACGTAGCTCTAGGGCAGAGACTGTTGGCAAGGGGAAATTTTGAGAACGCCTAAAGTACTCACATGTGGAAGTTCTGGAGTGTGCTTCCT